ACAATCATTACAAGAGTCCCGACAAGGGATCAATATGGTCTACACTATCCCGGCAAGGGATTCGACAGCATAAGTAATCACGTCCCGGCTAGGGAGAAAACAGCTATAACCAAACTTGTTACAACATCCAACTACCTCAGTTATAACTCGTTACAACCTCTAACTACCTCAGCTATAACCAAATTTGTTACAACACCTAACTACCTCAGCTATAATCAAACTTGTTCCGACACCTAACTATCTCAGCTATAACCATAATCCCTACCCAATACAAAGAATCATCAACCTAAGCATCCGTAATATCAATTAAGAACACAATGAAAGGGAACCACAACTCAACAATAGCCCGGCAAGGGGCAACATAATGATCTCTTCTCTTTCTCACTTTTACTTCACAATTCACTTCACAACTCGAGCCAATGCTCTAGGGTTTCAATTATCACTTATACTTTCACAATTCGTTATACAACTGGAGACAACGCTCTTCAATGTTCATAAGTCACAATTCTTTCCACAACTTTACACAACAAATAGAAATTTTCACCAAGGCATGAATAATACAACGAAATCATGAAAATCACAATATAAGACTCCCGGTTATGCTTGACACCAACGTATAGATACTCGTCACCATGCCTATACGTCGTACTCAACAAGAAACAAATAGCAAATAGGACAAAACTCCTAATCTCTCAAGCTAAGGTTAGACCAAACACTTACCTCGAACATCCACGGCCAACTCAAGCCTCCAACACCGCTTTTCCTTTTGAATTTGGCTCCAAATCAATTGTATCTAGACATAATCGACTTCATAACATCAATAAATGCTAAACAATCCAATTCCAATGCTTAATTATAGCTTTCTAATCATTCTTCCCAAAACTCAATCACTCATTCACCCACGAGCCCGAATATATAATTAGTTCCAAAATTTGACCCCAAAACGAGGTCTAAATCACAGATATATAAAAAGCCCTAACTCTACCCAAATTTCTAATTTTCTACCCTTAATCACATGATTTAAGCCTAGAAATCTAATGGGTGTTAATGGAAATTGAAGAAAATGAGTCTAAGATTACATACCTATGAATTGGTGGTGAAATCCCCTTTCAAAAATCGCCTAATTTGGAGTTGAAAAGAAGAAGTTATGAAATTTTGGCTAAATTTCTGTTTTAAAATCACTGGACAGGCCTTTATCGCGTTCGCGATGAAGCCAGCTTAAGTGGCCTTCACGTTCGCGTTCCCAGGTTCGCGTTCGCGGGGCTTTGGCTCTCAAGCCTACGCGTTCGCGGGCCAGTGGCTGCGTTCGCGATGCACAACATGGTGAACCCCTCCCCAGGCCTTTAACCTTACGCGTTCATGAGTGCATGGATGCGTTCGCGAAGGGTATTCCCCCCTCAACCTCATGTTCGCATCTCAAGCTTCGTGTTCGCGAAGAAGAAATCTGACACCTGGGAGATTTGCCTTACGCGTTCGCGAGAGGGACCATGCGAACGTGAAAAGTAAAATCCCTGGGCACTGAACAGCAAAAACCTGCAACTTTTTGAGTTCCAAAAACCTTCCGAAATACATCTGAAACACACCCGAGCCCTTGGGGCTCAAAACCAAACATACGTACTAACTCAATAACATCATACGAACTTTTCCGTGCGATCAAATCGCCAAAATAACATCAATAACAACAAATTAAACCTCAAAATCAATGAAATATTTCAAAACTTCTTAAAGCATCAAACTTTGCATTTACGGTACGAATCACATCAAACGGATTCTGTTTCTTACCAAACTTCACAGAATTATCTTAAATCACATATAAGACCTGTACCGGGCGCCGGAACCAAGATATGGGTCCGATACCAACATGTTCTAATCAAAATTCATTTCAAATTCTTTTAAACAATTTCAGAAAATAATTTTCTTTAAAAAATCATTTCTCGGGCTTGGGGCCTCGGAATTCGATTCCGAGCATACGCCCAAGTCCCATATTTTCCTACGGACCCTCCGGGACCGTTAAATCACGGGTCCGTTTACCCAAAACGTTGACCGAAGTCAAATTAATTTATTTTATAGTCAAAATTTATCATTTTCATAGATTTTCACATTTAGGCTTTCCGGCTACGTGCCTGGACTGCGCACGCAAATCGAAGTGATGCTAAAAGAGGTTTTTAAGGCATCGAAACGTAGAATTTTATTTTAAAACAAGTAAAGGGTCATCACAAAAAAAGAGCGAGAATACAGATTTTCTCAGGTAATCCCACGTGCTCATGATTCATCTAGATAATTGATTTTGAATTCTTCACATTTGACGAATCGTCTTAAATTACCAAGATTATGACAGTCGAAACTAAAGGGCTAAGTGCCAAGTAATACTTTGTGACCATGTTTTTAAAGTAATTGCTCCTCTGCAAAACAAACATAGAATTGTAACTTGATAAATTATTAAATATATTTGTGTGGAGTAACAAATAACAATTGGAAAATCCATTAACAGCCTAAATGTATAAGTACATCTAAAATTTACAGGTCCTTTAGAAAAAGACGTGATTATAACATAAAGGTCATGGTGAGGTTGGAGTTATTACAAGATTCTACATCAATGATAGGCCCACTGTTGACAAGTACTTTACTAAATTCACTTGATACAAGAAACAGAAAGGATGTAGAGGGAGGCTGAGAAACAATAGTTTTTTTTTCTTCTTTACATATAAGGGTGATTAATTTCACACTATGGGTCTGAGTTGATTCTAAAACTGCTAAACTTTAAGAACTTTGTAATTTTCGACTATTTTCTAAATAAGGGACCTAAAAAGTACTATCTATGTCCCAATTTATATGGCGGTATCCGATATGACACGCGTTTTAAGGAAAAAATGGAAGAATTTGGTGTGGGCTCATAACCTATAAAAAGGTATTGGGTTGGGTTCATCTCTTATGGACTAAAAGCCAATACAAGCTCGATGCATTGCACGTAGCAATAGGAACATGAATCGGAAGTTTATAATTTACATAACTACAACTTTATAGATAGTATATTTCATCATTTGCAACTAGCTATTGATTTACATATTATACAACATCATTATCTTTATTTTATATAATTAATATATATTTAAATTAAAAGAATTTCTCTCTACGGACATTATTCAACCTATACTAAATGAAGATTCCAAAATTGTAGCAAAATTGTATAGAATTCTTAACATTCCCTAAATTTAAGCTTAAGCAAGTTGACTACAATTCAAATACAATCAAATTTTCCTAAAATATCTCTACATCCCTAAAATTAAGCCTAACCAAATCTACCCCAATTCAAATGCAGCCATTCAAAAATAGAAAGAGATGTACTATATAATATAGGAGTCAAATATTAGGGGTGTTCATGGTTCGGTTTGGATCGGTTTTCCCTAAAAAGAAACCAAACCAAGTAAAGTCAGTTTTTCAAATATTAGAACCAAACCAAACCAATTAAGTCGGTTTTTTCTTGATTCGGTTTATGTCGGTTTTTCGATTTTTTCGGTTATTTATCGGGTTTTTCTTAAATATAAGACATACACTACCAAACACATATTTCGGCGACCACATTTTCAACGTAACAATATCAAATCAATTGCCCTTTGAGAAATCTATTATTTACCAAGATATATTGATGATAATAGAATCAAATAGTAATGAATAATTTAAGGACTCAATTAAAAATATATTATTTTTAACATAAAATAGATTCTTACACTTAACAAAAGAAAACTATCAATCAAACTAGAATGTAAAGGAATAGACCTATATTAAAAGTGCAAACGATTAACATTTACTATAAATTTTTTGAAACTTTGTATAAAAGTATACATATATATAGGTGTAATAATAAATTTAAAATAGCTACTCCTATATTTGGTTTGGTTCTGTTTTTTTTTATTAAAACCAAAATCAAACAAAATTTGATCGATTTTTAAATTTCAAAACCAAAACTAAACCAAACCAAAAAGTATCGATTTTTTTGGTCGGTTTGGTTTGGTTGGGTTTTCGGATTTTTATGAACACCCCTATCAAATATAATAAAAGTATGAAATCTGTTATAGCATATTTATCTTATACTATTATATTATATTTGTATAATCTATACAATATACTATATAATGTATATATGAAATCTCTTATAGTATATTCATTGTATATTTATATGAGTATTTAAATGCATATTTATTATATTATTCGAGGTGTATTTATTTCTTGTATAGATTAATTTAATGTATAGAAGAAACACAGTATATTCTATACAATATATATATATATATATATATATATGTGTGTGTGTGTGTGTGTGTGTGTGTGTGTGTATTATACTATATCCACCGTATACTAAATATATAATAATTAATATACCATTGATTGCTAATATAATATATGGGTATTGATTTTGAGTATACTAACATATTATATTTATTAAAAATATACGTAACATAGTTCTTTACAATGCTATATAAAATATAATATTAGAAAATTAATGGTCCAAACGGATTAGATGAGAGAGAACTGTGAGATTATTTTGAATTTAAGGGATTATGTGTTAGTTGGCATCCCTATTTTCAAGTTCCATAGTGAGATATTTCAGGCATATTAAAAGTTGTATCTAATTTAATTAAAAAGTTAAAAAGTTGTACTAAATTGTATATAAAGTAACTTTTTAAAAGTGGTTGTATTTCTTATAAATATCTGTTTCTATTGTTGTATTCCAGGTAAATTTCTCAACATGAATCCCAACTAGCAACTACTAATCACTAAACAAAATCCACAAAAAGGAGAGAAAATGAATACATTAAAAATAAACCACACAACAATCTTCGTGCCAACATTGGCCAACAGAAACAAAGTACAATCAAACAACAATGGCTCAAACAAGAAAAGCCAAGCCATTGATGATCACTTGATACATGAAATGAAAAACAATAACAATAGACTGAGAAAAATACAAAGCTAAACCAAGTGTCTCACATTCCTTAGATTCAACTCCACCATTGATGCACAGCAACCCCTTCATCTATCAACTTCCCATACAATGTCAAACATTGCCAATAAGCCTTCCTCTGGCTTCCATTTTCCTCTTCATAATCATCATCATCATCTTCCAATTGGTTTCTGCAGTGCAAGAACAACTCATCCACCAAACATATTGTCTTCTTCTTTATCATTTCCTCCACCACTTCTGCTTCTGCTTTCATCACAACATAGTCCTCTTCCTTCACATTTTTGCTTAACCATTCTGCTGCCCCAAGTAAGGGCACCCCGTTCCCCCATTCCTCTGAATCTTGGATTTCAACATCCAAGTTGTAAACCTCAAAATCTTGATTCTTTGCAGGGTAGTTCCTCTGAAACCATTCTGCTACTCCATTTTTCTCATCAGAAATGAAAACTCTTCGCGGGTAATTCTCAAGCGAATCCCCTAACAACTCAGGAAGAAACTTCATCTTCCTTGAAATTGATTTCACAAGTGCCTTTCTTGGTGGCTCAAACAACACATCCTCTAATCCTTTCAATGCAACTTTCTTATCCTCAGGTGTGCTTCCACAAAGAATGTTCTTTTTTCGCGAATTCAGCTCATCGTTTACTGTCCCAATTTTCCTCAGACCAATCATAGTTTTGTCGAATCGTCGTATGTACACAATTCTATAGTTAGCTAGAGCTTTGAGCTCAGCTAAAGGATCATTGCTCAATTGAGTTACCACAATGCCACCAATCTTGAGCACACGATCAATGAACTTACTGTTCCATTTAGTCCAAGCAATTGCAAAATCAAACGTCTCATTTGGAATTGAATTTTTGTTATCCATATCTGAATCATTCACCAAATCAACCACATTGTCATTCAACAACTCCAAATCTTCCGCCAAATGATCATTATTCTCAGAGCTCAAAATGAGTCCTTTTTGGCCCTTTTTAACAAGTCCTTCATCTCCCAAATCACGAAAAAGATTATGCAACATGTTAAAGTCCCTCACATCATCAGAATTCACGTCGATTACGTCGACTGAGCCTCTTAGTATGGACCCAATTGAGGGCAATGTAAGAAGAACCATTGCCAAGAACAAAGACCGTGACATAATCCTTAAAGCCCTAGAATCTGGTAGCTTAATTATCAAAAGGGCATCTTGATTCAGCCCAATTTTAACCCCAGGAAATTGATTCCCCTTTACTTTTCCCTTTTTGGGGCAATACCCGCGACCCAAATCCATCGTTCAACAGCAAAACAATCCAAAATTGTACAGTTATGGAATCAAGACTCTGCAACAATTGATTGTATCTTGTGCTCCTATAGTTGTACGTGACAAATTCTTAACAACTATAAGAACAGAGAGAGAGAGAGAGGAAAAGCCAACGGTGGAAGAGAGGAGAATTTAGCGAGTGCAAAACCTGGCAGCGGTGTGGTTGCCACCCACAAGAGCAACACGGTTAGATCTGATTCTACACCAAAGGAGCAACAATTGTCTAATTCTAGCTACTTCCATGATGTTTTCTTCTTAATGTACTCAATACAGGTCAATTTTTTGTCAAGAAAATTCCATGGAAATTGAGTTTCTAGGTACAACCCCCAGAAATGGAATTAGATGATCTGAAACTCAACAAACATGGAAAAATGAAGGGGGGCAAAAATATTTACGTCTGAAGTTGAAAGAAGAGAAAAATGTGGAAGAGTTAGAGTTAGAGATGATGATGAAAAGAGGATCTTGGAAATGGATGGATTTAATAGGGAGAAATGGAGCTGCTTTTGCATGCGTGTGGGGACCTTTGGGCCGTTGGATTTTATTTCTGCTAATTTTTCGTTTTACTTCTTATTTTTAGCTTCTTTTACCGTGTTTAAAACTTCGCACACTGTGAAATTTTCGCGGTGTAGATAACTCTACACGTATAGATGATTTAAATAATTAATTTAACATGTTATGCATAGGTGATGGAGAAAAACTTGACATATTTTACATTACTCGTCCCTTTGTTAGACAAAAATACATTTACTTTTGGATAAGTTTGGATGCAGTAGAGAGGACAACATTCATAAATGCTTTAAGTTTGTGGCTTTAAGCTTGGATGCAGTAATACGATGTTTTAGCAAAATGTTGTATTATAATACGTTTTACATTAAAAAAAATAATTTATTAATTAAAATGCAGTATTATATTATGCTTTTCTTTAACGGCTAACTTTTCGTTAAATTAAAATGCAGTATAATACTGCATTTTAGTTAGAAATGTAACCTTTTATTTTAATTGTAAAAGGTATTTTGAGTCCAAAATACCATTATTTAGGTTTCGACACTCTTCATGGGGCGGGAGGGGTTTACCAAAATCCCTTCGCCGAAAATTTACACTGTATATATAAGGCAAAATATATTGTTTACCTTTATATATTATGTTTTGAATCCTCTTGACATAGTCCAAAAGCATAGCTTAGTGGTTAAGGGGGTCCAAAACTTCTTTGAAAATCATTGGTTCTCAATCTCCACTAGCTACAATCTCTTTTAATTTTTTTTTAAACCCTCTTAACGAAAATCCTGTCTTATTAAAATATCCCTATTAAAGACGGGATTCCTTCCAAAATGGTTTTATCAAGCTAAGAAATCTATACTATATTAAAAGCACGAAGGCCCTTAGCGAAAAGTCGTTCGCCTTTTTAACCCTTAAAAAATAAGTTTCATATTAGATAAAATTGTAATTTCAGTTATTTTCCTAATATTTAGAACCTTGGAATCACCTAAAAATTTGCCTATAATATCTTTCCTTATTAAACTAGGTACGGAGTCCTACTATTTAAGAGTTCAAAATCTATCAATATTTTACCTTACATAAAGTGTGCTATTTGAAAATAAATCCATATATGTAACATGTAGGATGTTTAACGTGATTAGCAAATAATTTATATGAAGTCATCAGTTCATCAGGAAGCACTATAGAGGATATAAAATTCATTCAAAACACAGGCAAGTGAAATTATCTCAACAATAAACAATTAATTACGCATTTTAAAGACATTTATTTTTATCATACAAAATAAATAGTTCGTGTAAAATTAAAGTCATATAAAATTGCACAAGCCTAAATGTGTGTGTATCTACATTATATTAAAAGCACGAAGGTCCTTAGTGAAATGTCGTTCGCCTTTTTTACCGCTTCAAAATAGATTTCGCACTAGGTAAAATAGTAATTTAATTATTTTTCTAATAATTAAGAGTTTGAAATCAACTAAAATATTGACTACTAAATATTTTCTTATTTTAACTTCTACGAGTCCTAATTTGCACATACATTGTATCTTTAATTTATAAAAGCTTTATTATTATTTCCTTATATTAATTAATTAGTACTTCTAAATTTTATGCAAGGAAATTAGTGATATTTACGGAAGTCAAATCTTCTCCTCCTAATAATTGTCTAAAGAAGTAAAAACAAGTTATGTAAAGAAAATATATTTGTGTGGAACTATATTTGCACGTAAAACAAGATGCTACCTCATAACAATGATTACATAATGTTAAAAAGGCACGTAACTATTATCAAATAATATATTTGAATAATAAAATAAAAATTTAAAAAGTAGAAGTCATTGAAAATAATAAATACTATATCTCGACTCTCATAAGTGACGATTGAAAAATTAATAATTATTCAAGTTCTTCGCTTTTATGTTATTTAAGTAGGATTACATTTATGACCAAAAAGTCCTCAGTCGTCTCAGATTGAAATAATAAAACACATAATATATCCTAATTGTATAGATTAACTTGTATACTCCAATGAAGGCTTGACATTTTCAAATCTATCCATCTATATTTATCTATCTATATCTATACTACTAGTATTAGTACCTGTGCGGATACGCGTACACTAATCATGTCAAATATTTAAGTTATTTGCATTGTATGTAAATAATCTTAAAATTTACACTTTCTCAGTAAATATAGATAATCATTGGATATTAACTACATGAAAAAAATTAACCATTATTTTTCTTTTTTGATACCATTCTTGCCGGTGTCATTGGATCCTAAAAATAGTCAGGAAGCAAAATAATAACTCATATTTATGGCAAACCAATCAAATGTTGAGACAATGAATGACTATTTAGATAAGACTTAACTCTTTTACTACTACTTGAGTTCTTATTTGGTGTGTTTGATATCTCTTAAAAAATATTTCTTTCTTAAAATTACAGTTTCTAAAACATTTCAATAATAATTATTTTTATAATAATGTAACTGAAAATATTATTCTTAATTCAAAACTCATTTTAGTTGGCTATCTAAAAATATAAAAAATTCTTTAGCTAGTGAGTTATTTTTACTCAATTTTGATATTTGACATTAATCATGTTAAATATCGGAAGTATTTGAATTATATGTAAATAACCTTAACATTTAAACCTTCTAAATAATTATGTATAATCGCCAGATATTAATTAAGAAACACTATATGAAAAAGGACTAACATTTTCTCAATTCTCGTAGTGATTTTTTGCAATATTCTCATAGGTGTCATTGGAACCTAAAAATAGCCATAAAGTGAAATAATAACTCATATTTATGGCAAAGCACAAAGGTTGACGCGATATAAACGATTCTTTGATTACGACATGACTCTTATACTACGACTTGAAATCTTATTTGGTATGATTTTATCTTTCAAAAAATGTTTCTATTTTGAAATTTCAATTTCTAAACTTTATTTATATCTATATTATATTAAAAGCACGAAGGCCTTTAGCGAAATGTCGTTCGCCTTTTTTACCCATTAAAAATAGATTCCACATTGGATAAATTAGCAATTTAATTATTAGTTTAAAATTAATTAAATTATTAATTATTAATTCTTTCCTTATTTAAACTATGTAGAAAATCTAAATATTTTAGGAATTCAAAATCAACTATGATTTTCTTTACATAAATTCTTTCCTTATTTGAATTATGTAATATAATTTTTATTCCTTCCATATTATTTGACTTGATAGTATAAAAAGACTTGCTAATTTGTAGTACTTTGCCAACGATATGTGATTGCTCCTTAGTAGGTGAGTTCTTTATACTTTTTCCGATCGTTCTATAGAATATTGCTGTTATCTTTGAAGTTTTTTCTTGTTTTAGTTTGTTTTTGCTTTTGTTTTAAATGTTTTATATGGGTTTTGGAAGAATATTTTTCATTAATGTCTTTTTCTTTTCTTATTAACCATCCAATTCAATTTTTTTAGGAGTAAAAGAATATGCTCATTTTGGATTAAAAGATGTTACACATTTAAAGCCTAATGTAGTTCAATATGGATTTCTGTGACTAATCTGCAGGTTTTCTTTCTTAGTCAGAAGATTCGAAAATTTTTGAGGCTACCTTCTTTCCTGTTCTTACTTTACATCCAATTTAATTTTCGTTTAGTAATAAAAAATTATGCCTTTTGAGATTTTGGGTTAAAACTTAAAAGAGAATTTCTCACGTTTGACAAAAAAAATCCAAACACCATTGTAATTCCTTCTACGCTACAGTCAAATATTTCATACTTAAGATGGCTAATATTAAGAATTTTGATCAATCTATCCATATATATACTATATTAAAAGCACGAAACCCCTTAGCGAAATATTATTCGCATTTTTTACCCTTTAAAAACTAATTTCATATTAGATAAAATTGTAATTTAGTTGTTTTCCTATATTTAGGACTTCTAAATCAAATAAAATTTTAGTTATTAAATTTTTCCTTTTTTGAACTAGGTAAGAAATCCTAATATTTAGAACTTTAAATGAATAATATTATTTTTCCATATTTAGATTTTGTAGAAGTTGTAAAAGTATGTATAACAACAAATATATTACCAAGCACACTATTATGATGGATAGTGGTACAAAGTTTATGCGTAGAACAGTGACTAACACTTTAAAAATTTATCCCATTTTCAAAATCAACTAAAAATTTGTTATCCTTTGAATCATGTAAGAAATTTTAAATAAATTAGTATTTTAATTATCTAATATAAATTATTTATTTATTTAGAGAAGATGTAACATAATTGTAATCTATTAATTTTAGACGTAATATAATGGTTAATACTTTAGAGAGTTATCCCTTTTTGAAATTCATTGTAATATTATTTATCAAATCATTCATTAATTAACTACGTAAGAAGTCTTAATATAGGACTTTAAAATCATTTAATATTTTAATTATCTAATATAAATTATTTATTTATTTGGATAATA